CACAACTCCAGCTATGTGAATAAAGTCACTGAAATAAATGAAGCAAAATGCAGGACAATGTAGCACTTTAAAGACTAACAAGATGGTTTATTAGATGATGAGCTTTCGTGGGCCAGACCCACTTCCTCAGATCAAATAGGAAATAAATGTTCCTTCAGTCAAGATACTGCAGCGTCTACACTGTAGGGAGCAAAGGGAGAAACTCTCCTGTCAATTTACTTCTCCCTTCTCATGGGGGTAGATTATGTAGTTCGACTTGAAAATAATCTTCTTTGGATTTGGGAGGTCTTCACTAGACCCGCTAAATCATCTGTTGGTGTATCCAGGGGCGGATATAGGGCAGGGCGAACGGGGCGGCCGCCCCAGGCCCTGTGCTTCAGAAAGCCCCGCGCATGCGCCGTGGCAAAGGGGGGGCCCTGCGGAATTATGCTGCCTGGGGCCCCGCAAAACGGTCATCTGCCCCTGGGTGTATCTGTCTCAGGCCATTGGTTCTGGCAGTGGTGTCCATGTAGCCTAAGATCCCGAGTCTCGTTGTTCCTCCGCTGTCACAGATTTTTGTGGAAATCTCCTTGCAAACATGCCTCAGCCTCTATTAATGACAAATCCACAAAAAGGATAATTATTTATTAATTGTATCACTTACTCTGTTAGCTTAAATGGAAGAGGTCTGGGCTATGTATCTCAAGTCCCTATTGGTGACCAATGAGGATGCTAGTTATGAGTAGTGTTCCCTCTAAGGGTGTGTCTAGACTACAGAGTTTTGTCGACAAAAGTGGACTTTTGTCGACAAAACTATACCTGCGTCTACACTACCGCTGAGTTCTGTCAACATAATGTCGACAGAACTCAGCAGTTTTGTAGACGCTGGTAAACCTCATTTTACGAGGCATAACGCCTTCTGTCGACAGAGTTCTGTCGACAGATGGTGTTATTGCATGTAGGGTTGTGTCTAGACTACAGGGTTTTGTCGACAAAGCACCTTGCTTTGTCGACAGAACTGAATGTAGTCTAGATGCTCTTTATCGACAGAAGCTTTGTCGACAGTACCTGTCGACAAAACTTCTGTCGACAAAACCCTGTAGTCTAGACGTACCCTAAGATTTGCAATCCTTGGTCAGGTTGAAATTTCTTAGGTGCAACACCAGTATTGAGGTGGTGTATGGATGTGTACCCACCAGTACAAACAAAAACTGGAGATATAAATATATATTTTAAATAGTCCATAGGTGTGGAAGAAAATATATTAAAACAAGGGGTAATTAACTAACTAGGTGCAATGCTTATGATTATTTAATATGAAATAAAATAAAAAAATTAACACTACCCTTGGTTGAAGAAGTGGATTGTGCCCACGAAAGCTCATGATACTATTTATATATTCTTAGTAGTTTCTAAGGTGCTACAGACTAACACGGCTACTTCTCTGAGACCTTGGAGAATATGAATCATCTTCCTTTCTAACAGCCAGATACACCTTTCAAAGATCTTGCAAATAAGGTTTCATCCTACAAAACACCTAGGCTACGTCTACACTGGCCCCTTTTCCGGAAGGGGCATGTAAATTTCACCAGTCGTCGTAGGGAAATCCGCGGGGGATTTAAATATCCCCCACGGCATTTAAATAAAAATGTCCGCCGCTTTTTTCCGGCTTTTAAAAAAGCCGGAAAAGAGCGTCTACACTGGCCCCGATCCTCCGGAAAAAGTGCCCTTTTCCGGAGGGTCTTATTCCTACTTTGAAGCACACTTTGAAGTAGGAATAAGATCCTGGGACCTGGGGATTACAGTGGATGAGAAGCTGGATATGAGTCAACACTGCCATTGTAGCTAAGAAGGCTAATAGCATATTCCTACTTCAAAGTATGGTCTTATTCCTACTTCAAAGAATAAGACCCTCCGGAAAAGGGCACTTTTTCCGGAGGATCAGGGCCAGTGTAGACGCTCTTTTCCGGCTTTTTTAAAAGCCGGAAAAAAGCGGCGGACATTTTTATTTAAATGCCTCGGGGGATATTTAAATCCCCCGCGGATTTCCCTACGACGACTGGTGAAATTTACATGCCCCTTCCGGAAAAGGGGCCAGTGTAGACGTAGCCCTAGTGTCACACCTAGTCCTTGCTGCTTCTGACTCATAAGAGCCAGAACTCTGCCAGATAGCAAAGATCTGGCCTTAATGCAATACAGCTTACCATGTATTAATTAGTAACACAAAATTTTAATAAATCATTAAGATCAGAGTTTTAGATATCTGCAACACTCAAAAAATTCTGTTAAAAGAATCTTTTTCTTTCTTACTGTAAGCCATTATCACAGCAGTGGGCAATAATTTTTGATGGAGGGGCCATTCCAAGAATGTAAGTGGTAGAGGGCCACACTTTTCCATTATATTAATGGAGGAGGTGTGGGGGTCTGGGTTGGAGGTTGGGTGCACAAGGGAATTTGGGGTGTGGGATTTGGGAGGGAGTTTGGGTGAAGCAGAGAATTGTGACCTGGGGTGGTGTGGTGGGGGTGCATGGCCTGGGATGAAGTTGTGACTTGGGGCAGGAGTGCAGGTGGGGGTGCAGGGATTTGGACTGTGACCAGGGATAGCAGATTGGGGTGCAAGATGTGAGAGAGGGTTGTGACTTGAGGAGGGGTATAGGAGAGGAGGCAGTGTTTAGGAAGGTGTATGGGGGCTAGAGCAGGGGTGCAGACGGTTGGGTTACGTGGGGTAGGAGAGCAGAGGGGGGCAGAGGGTTGGAGGAGGAAGGTCGGGGCTGGAGTGCCAGGTTACGTCTAGACTACATGGCTCCGTCGACGGAGCCATATAAAGTAGTTTACTCGGCATAGTCAAAGAAGCGGGGATTATTTAAATCCCCGCTTCTTTGACTATGCCGAGTAAACTACTTTATATGGCTCCGTCGACGGAGCCATATAAAGTAGTTTACTCGGCATAGTCAAAGAAGCGGGGATTATTTAAATCCCCGCTTCTTTGACTATGCCGAGTAAACTACTTTATATGGCTCCGTCGACGGAGCCATATAAAGTAGTTTACTCGGCATAGTCAAAGAAGCGGGGATTATTTAAATCCCCGCTTCTTTGACTATGCCAAGTAAACTACTTTACATGGCTCCGTCGACGGAACCATGTAGTCTAGATGTACCCCCAGAAAGAGACTGTGGCTGGGGGACCTTACCTGGTTCCAAGCAAACAGCCCAGCAGGTACCTTAGCTAGGGTCTCTGCCTTCCAGCACCTGTATGTGCTCAGGGGAGTCGCAGGAGCCATGTTTATTGTTCTAAACTGCATGATGTGAGCCTGGGGGATGAGTAAGGAGGGGCACTTCACATGCTGCTTGTCTTGTAAACAGGCAGCTGCTATTGGCCAAAAATGACCAATGGGAACTACTAAGGAGGGGCGGGGGGCAGCATGAGAAGCCTGTCTCCCCTCCCTCTAGGGTCTCAGTGTTCAGAAACACACATGTGGCCCTGTACCTAGCGTTTCTGAGTGCCAAGTGGGTTCACTGCAGGCAGGGAGCTGGCTACGGCTCCCAGATCATCTTTTGCCCAACCCTGGAGTAGAGGCTGGAGCCAGCTTCTCCATTTGTAGCAGGCAGCAGCTGCTGCTGCTTCTGTTCCTCCAAGAGGGTGAGTGCTTCCCCAAGTGATCAGTTGAGCTTCCTGCCTGCATGGGGCGCTCTGTACCTCTGTGTAGTGGTCAGAAAAGGGCTGTGCACCTGCGTGGGTATGCAGCTTACAGGGAACCTTGGTTATGAATCTACATGATGGCATTTCTGTTTTTTTCCTCTTGCTTTTTAAAAACACCCATGTGCAGGGCTTGACAAACCACGGCGAAATCTACTCGCCAGCCCCACACTGCGCATGCGCGTACCTCCGGTGATCAGGGCGACCGGCTGAAATCTGCTCGCCACAGGCGAGTCAATTCACTGATTTGTCGAGCCCTGCCTATGTGATTACAAATACACACCGAGAGAGGGGTTGAATTAAGATTGCAGAGGCAATTTTAATTCTGGCATTTCTTAATTTTTAAGTATTTGACTTTATTATTTTTAATGTTCTTTTAATGTTATTTTTTGTGTGTAATATGTATATGTACAACATACAAGTGAAATATGGATTGCATAGTCAAGAAATACGCAGCTATGAGTTTAATAACTGAACTTGTCAGCGTGCGCTATTACATTTTGCTCTGGTGAGATGTTAGTATTGTGGAGAAAACTTGTCTATAATTGTCACTAGAGAGGGTGTTTGGAGACAGCAGATATAGTTAGAGAGAAAAGGTAAAACATGCCATAAATCTGATTTGAATGATAGCGTTTTAAACGTTGCATAATTTAAATGTGTGGGGATTTCTGTGTATATATTGATATTTTAAAATTTTGCATTCAGTCTGTTGTGTTCGTTTCTAAATGGTTAATCTGTTCATGGGTGGGCTGTTTTGCTCCAGATCCATTTCTACCGGTTAACTGATTAAATGGGGGCAGGCAGGCTGGCTGGAGTTGCCTCTGTGGCTGCTTATGGCCCTGCCAGTAACACTCCGCCCCACCCCCATGCGTCACCTTTCAGCTCTCTGCGAGGCTGCTGACTCCCAGCCCACATGGGGCCTCTCCCAGGTAATACTTAACTTTTACCCAGTAAGCATCACCCATTAAGGAAGATGCTTACAGGGTAATTGGTTACCTGTTCACATCTCTGCAGTGAATATTGACATTGTAACCTTCTATAAAATTCTGCCCAAATAAAATGTTCCATCTCTTTTGTGTTTGAGGCTGTGAAATAAGCTTTTTCATTGGATGAAACTTTAGAGTCCAAACTTTAAGTTGGTAAATTTGTGATATGTTTTCTAATTTAAATATATAATATTAGAGATACAAAAATTATTTGAATGAATTTGTTTCATATTAGGATGTGCCTTTTGACTTTCCCTGAAAGTGGAATATATTTGATCATGGTCCAGTCTTGCCTTTCTAATTTTTTTCCCGTTTCTTCCCACTTTTTTTGTGTTTTAGCTTTCCACAGGGAATCCATCGTATGAGAGTTATTACAAACAGGTATATTTTTAATACTTATATTTGTTTAACATTCTATTTTTCCCTCCTCTCTATATCTACTTACTTATAAAGTTCCCTCTGCTGTATAGTAACTGCTTACAAGTACTGCTCTGTTATTGGGTGGCTAAGGGACAGGAGATTCTTCATTCTGTACTTGTGCTTTTGTAACTGACATAAGTCAGTTAATTTTTGTTTTCCAGGTAGATCCAGCATACACAGGGAGAGTTGGGGCTAGTGAAGCTGCACTGTTCCTTAAAAAATCAGGTCTTCCAGACATTATCCTTGGAAAAGTAAGTTGAACGTATGTGTATATAGGGATACATATACATTATTTTGTCTGTGCATTATGATCACAGCTGTTATTGAGTCATTGTGGATATGGTTATCTAGAGAGAGGATGCAAAACAGTGCCCCTCTGATTTTATGAACTCTTAGTTACCTGTGGATTGCTTGTTACTCCCTTGATTGCATTGACTAAAGATTTGCGCCTATGAATATTTTAAGAGCCCCCCCAAAAGTTTATAACGCACAAGATACAATAAATCTGTATAGGGAAGCTGAGGTAATAGTAAATATTATCATATAAGGAATTGCTTGATGAGGGAGCAACTTGCCAGTGAGACAGCATCTTAGAAGGCACAAAGGTGAAAGTTGGAGGAGGAGACAGAGGGAGTAAGCAGTATTGTAGGTAGCAGTTATGGAACTGTGGCAAATACTGAGAGAGACCAATGAGAAAGAAGAAACTGGAAAAAAAAAAAGGGGGAAGATACAAGAATCCACCAATGGAGTGATTCACAGAGAAGGAGCTGTGTAGGAAGCAGTGGAGGAGGAAAATATAGAAAGACTGAGGGACTGGGAGAGGTGGTTCTGGGAGTCCAGACCAGAGATTGTTACAATAAACAAGGATGGTGATGTTCAGGATTTGGATAAAAGTTTTAATGGGGGAGGCGATGTGGATTCGGAAGATGTGTAAAAGAGAAGTACCCAGTGTTAACAACACAATTTATTGGACTATTGGAAGGCGCTTAGATACTATGGTGATAAGGGTAGTATAAGAACACATTGAGAAAGAAAGAAAGACTAGTTGTGATGAGGAAAGAGCTAAAGATGATAGTGGCTAATTAAAACACTAAGGTGATTTTAAAACTAATTTTAAAATAAAATGTTAGAAAAATCTGTTCGTCCTGCACTTACCTGTTGAATCATGAGTCCAGGACTACTGAAGAGTAGTGGGAGTTGCTTCTCTACAACTGCAAGCTAGAGAGTGCAAGAAAATGCTAGATTACTGTTCTGTATATGTTGGTTGTGATGTAATCTTTAGTGCAAGAGAAATTCAGACTTTAGAATGTAAGAGCTTGAAAGAAAGGTTTTTAAAGGTAATGGACATACTTCCATTGATTTCACTGGAGTTTGCATCTGGCGTTGTGTGAGGAAGGATACAATTTTAAAATAAATAACTTTTTTTACATATACTTTAACAATTTGAAGTTTAAATTTTAAAGCAGATTTTATGGTTCAAATTTTGAAATAGAAAGCAAATAATTTAAGTACTGATATTTTCTATTTGAGCTTTCCGAGATAAATTGCCTACAAAAATACATGTAACAATGATTTTTATTTCCACAGATATGGGATTTGGCTGATCCAGAGGGAAAAGGGTACCTGGATAAACAGGTATATAAAATGTGCAGTGAACATGAAGATAAATCTATTATATAGGCCTACACGTTTTGATTCTGAGGCAGGATAATACTTACGTTCCATTAACATGATGCATATGCTTACACACTTTACTGCCTAAGAGCCTTTTTCAGTGCTCACCCCCAAATATATAACTAATGTTCTAAACTAATTTAATCAAAATAAAATAATATGGATAATCTGGTTATTATAATTTTCTATCTTTTCTTATTTAAAAAAAAATCATATTGTAATAGTAAGGAGCCACTCTTGTGGTGTCCTGATGGGTTTCCAAGGTCTGTCAGTGATGATAATCATTCAGCTACGTGCGTGTGTGCTCTTCTTGTTGTTGTGTGGTTCAATTTATTTTAGATCCAAGGGAAGCCAATACACTTCAGGGCTACTTAACCACTTTCTTATTTATTGCAAGCTTTAAGCAGTTAATACAGTTAAGTTTAAGTTTACAAGCCTTAAGAACAATTACTATACAATTTAAACTTTAAATACTATAAATTCTAAAGTAATTAATACAGCACAAAGCAATGCAAAAGCAATTACTAAAAGATCTACTATATACAATAATAAACCCTAATTCACGTACACTTTACCCATGTGCTACCTGCAGTGCTAGGCAGGAGGTCGTGGTTCCATCTTTTCTCATGCATAGGAACGCCACCACTGACGTAGCCAGTGTGAAGGGCCTCATCACTTCTAGTAACATCGAGCAGGACGTGTGAGTCAATCCTGCCCTTTCCCTCCCATTGATTGTTCTTACTAAGCCGAATTTATAGCAAAGAGAGACTTGGTCATTCTAATAATCAATTGATTACACATTGTGTAGGATACATAAAATGCCCAATGCCCCTATTTGGGGCTCATCCTGCTACTCAGGATGTTACTGCTATGTGCGCAGTTGACAGTCCTATGGCTGCATCTGTACTTTTTGCTTATTACAACAAAAGTATCAATACAAGTCTGCTTGTCCTGTGTTCTTGATGTCGTTTCATGTACCATGCTTAATCTGCATTGTTATGCAAAACAATTCTTGACTTTCGGGCCTTGCCTGTGTCTTTTGTTACACCACACTTGAAACAAGCGAGACTGCTTTTTTGGACAAGGCAAACATCACCAGTTATTGCCAAGGCAGGTAGTCTAGGCTCTACCACACTTGTGTGCTATGTTGACTTTGTGCAAGTAGTCAACACAGCAGACTCTCAGAGAGAGCACCCAAAGACCACAAAATCAAGTAAGGATGGAAGGTTTATTTTCAAACGTAGTGCAGTTATATTTGACTGTAGAATCTACTAAACCATTATACATATGTAACCCCTCACAATGGACCAGCTCAGTCAGTGGGAGGTCCTACTGCCCTTCCAAAACACAACTTTATGTATAGGTACAAACAAGTTACACATCACTTCTGATGTGTCAGGTTGCTACCCTATGACATTGCTTAAATACTACCCATTGCCACCGAACATCTCTATCTATCATGCTCTCATTTTAAACCTTTTCCTAAAACTGGGTCAGTATGTCCTTGGTGTCTGTGGGGAGTGTGTGGGTACCAAGATACTTTTTAATGAGGTTACCATCCTTCAGAATCATAGAATCATAGAGCTGGAAGAGACCTCAGGAGGTCATCAAGTCCAGCCCTCTGCCCAACGCAGGACCAATCCCAACTAAATCAACCCAGCCAGGGCTTTGTCAAGCCAAGACTTTAAAACCTCTAGGGATGAAGATTCCACCACCTCTCTAGGTGACCCATTCCAGTGTTTCACCACCTTTCTAGTGAAATAGTTTTTCCTAATATCCAACCTAATTACCCCACTGTAACTTGAGACCATTGCTCCTTGTTCTGCCATCTGTCACTACTGTGAACAGCCTTTCTCCATCCTCTTTGGAACCTCCCTTCAGGAAGTTGAAGGCTGCTGTCAAATCCCTCCTCACTCTTGTCTTCTGCAGAATAATGCTTTTAACCTATGCCCAGTGCCAATTACTATTTTACAGCCAGTATCTAGTACCATTTACTGTTCTACCCCTGTGCCTATTGCCAGTTAGCGTTTTACACACTTAACCCTGTTCATGCCAAGTTCCATGAGCATGTGCCTGCTTCTTGCACACAGCTTAGCTTTGCTTCATATTAGCAAAGCCTTGACCATTGTTAACTAGGCCTCACACCAGGCATGTGATACACGTGTTTATGTTTCAGGCCCTTATCTTACTACACATATGTATGATACGGCACAGTTACAAATGGCTCTAATACTTTGGTTTGTAAACACCAATATGCAGTTTACTTGTGTTTATCTCAACAACTACCCATTTTCCCTCTGGTGCAGCAACTCTGTTTACAGTGACATACAAACTGTTGCCTGATCAAAGAGATAAAACTGTTGCCAGATCAAAGAGATGTCTCCGTGCAGAGATCTTCTTTTATCTTGGCCATGCCTATCTTCTCCCACCCTCTTTCTCTCATTTCCCCCTTGCACTTCTTTCCTGTGCCTTTCTGCTCTTCCATTTTGTGAATAACTAGATCCTTAGCTTGCTACAGTAATTAGCCTCAGCTTCCTTCAGTCAGGCCTTTCATTGAGAGGAAAACACTGAATTTAGTGATTAGAGTGTTGATTCTGCTTCTGGTTCTCGACACTCTGTTATTACTTGTTAAAAATACTCTAGATATTTGTGATTAACAAAAATTATTAAAATAAACCAAATACTGCAGCAAGTATGGGCATTTGACAATATTATAACATAATTAAAGTTCAAGAAATTGAAATTCATTAATGTTTTACTTCATTAATTTTTACTTTAATTTTTTTAACGTATTAAGAAAACATTTTAAAGATTATTTAATATCACAATTCCCCATTGTATTATTTAATCTTAAATTACAAATACATACATTAAAATATGTATGAGCAATTTCTTTCACTTATGCCACACTTCCAAGATTGTGTGTTTCTGTTGCAAAGGCAGACTAGGGAATGCAGCTGTATGCTGGCAACTCCTGTAGATATTTGTGATGACATCAGGTTTTGAAAGAGAGTTACCAAAACCTGAACTCAGAATTTGGCAAATAAATGAAAAGCTATTCTTCATTCAAATTTCCTTTTATAATTCAACAGCTAAGTCTACCCATATATTGTTAATGATTTGGGATATTAAACAGCATTTAGAGGTGGAGGGATTTGGATTTGTTAAACAAAAACATTGATCATTTTTAAGAAAGAAGTTTGGCAACCATGACTTAATTGTGGAGAAGCTTTTTTTTTAAAGAATGTATTCAGTTAATTAGGTTTCTTTCCTTATGTTCCAAAGGTTTTTCCCCAAGTTGCTGCAAAATCTCCTTTCCTGTAAAAGTTGTCTGTAGAAATGTATAAAGGTAGAAATAAACAGAGGGGTGGGAATGTGAATGCAATTTAACATCTTCCCCAAATGTGGTTTAACCATTTAAGCAATGGTATCTGCATAGGATCTTGAAAATATAGATTATTCTGCTTAAGAACAGTGAGCTAGATTGCTTGTTTTTATTAACAGAATGTCCTGTATTTACTTGTTGTTGTGTTTCAATTTGTAGGGTTTCTATGTTGCATTGCGACTTGTGGCATGTGCACAGAATGGCCATGATGTTAACTTGAGCAATCTAAACTTGACTATGCCACCTCCTAAGTTTGTAAGTGATATTTTAAGTTTAGAACTCAAGCTTAAAATGAAACCTTGGGAAATCTTTTCTCCTTTACAAATTACTCTCCTAGTAATTACAGGACATAGATTGTAAGCTCTTTGGGTTTGTTTTTTTGTTCTATGTTTGTACAGTACTTAGCACAATGGCATTTTAGTTGGTGACTAGGCCTTTAGGTGCTACAGTAATACAAATAATAATATGATATTTAACATTTTTTTCTCGCTTGGATAACATATGCAAGAGTTTGTGTTTCTTTTCAGTAGAACAAATTAAATCTCTAGTCCTCTGTAAAACATTGGAATATTAAAGAGAAAGCTACATGTGCATAAATATATTTGCTTGTTTCATTTTAGCATGACACTAGCAGTCCCTTATTGGTCACACCACCTTCAACAGAGGCTCACTGGGCTGTTAGGGTAAGTGTACAAGATAAATATTTTTTAATCCAGTTTTTAAATGTAAATGCTGTTCCTGGCGGCTGTGTTTGATAGATTCATTTTACCAAGAAAGAAAAAATACTTCCCATTTTGAGACACCTTCCTTTAAAGAAACAGACACATCAACATTATACAGTACTAAATATAGGTGTTTATATATTTCTATATTTAATATAAATATTGTAACAAACCTCTGTCAGTGTTTGGTATATTTGTAAGAAGCGTTGTCCAGGACGTGAAGGTTATGCTATAAAATTTAATCTTCTGCCTAGCTGCCAGAGTCAGAGCAGAAGGCACTGGGAGTTAATATTTGATCTAAAGAACAGTGAAGCACTTCACCAATCCCATCCTCAAGTATTAGTAGGGAACTTGAATGTACAACTTTCTAGGATTATGATTTTTTTTTGGTGCCTGCTGTATGGTCTAATGAAAACAGTAATTTTTGCATATGTTTTGTATTTATAACTTAATTTTCTAATTGTGTGATAGAAATGTAAAATACAGTTTCTGTTTGTGAAAAATTTAAATTGTCAAATCATTTAAATAAAGGTATCTCGTTGACTATATTATAATATAGAAAGCAAAATCTTTGAAAGTAACAATTCTTAGTCTCTAAGGTGCCACAGGACTACTCTTTGTTTTTAAAGTTCTTTGTATTGTAAATGATCTGTGAAAGTTTCATAATTTGAAATCTGGGCACCAGTTAGTGAATCAAAATGTGTTGTCTTTCTGGAACATTAGAGAAATGCATATTATGGCCACAGTTCTTCAGTCTCCAGAAATCTTATTTTCATACTGAGAAAAATAAGGTCCTAAAGCTTGTACTGTGAATTTTACATCTAAATACAGTACAGTGTTTAGGATATAGCATACAGGTTCATGCTAGGAAGTTAAAATAATAAATTACTAACCAGTCACTTAGCTTCTTGAAAGATTTAATTTTTGACACTCACACAGGCACACTTTTTTACTTATTCAGGCTATTTCTTACCAACTAGGTGGAAGAAAAAGCGAAGTTTGATGGTATTTTTGAAAGCCTTTTGCCTGTAAATGGTGTACTTTCAGGAGACAAAGTAAAACCAGTATTGATGAACTCAAAGCTACCTCTTGATATCCTCGGAAGGGTAAGTGTGCTGTAGGTTTTCCTAACCATGCTTTAATGTAATTTCTCTTTCTAGTGAAAGTAAATATGCAATGTAACTGATAGCATTATTTTCAATGAAAGCAATAGTTCAGATCTAGGCCAACGTTTAAAAAAATGGCTGCCTAAAATTACGGTCTCTAAACCAATATTTAGGCACTTACGTAGTTCATTTAAAAGCAAAACACCCTCACATGCACACACATACAACCAACTTGGCCCTAGGCTGGATCTGCTTAATTTGTCTTGTAGTCTTTTAAGAGCAAGAACGTTGCTTTAAAAATTACTGAGCAGAGAAGCAAGTCAATTTAAAAGAAAAGTGAATGCTTCTGGTTTGAAAAGCTGTCCTCAAAATGGCTTATAAGGCCTTATATCCTGCTAGCTTTTTTCATACTAGGAGCTATTAAACCAACCGTAAATGTGAACTCCAACTATCATGAGTGTACTCAGGAATCAGGTTATTCTGTGAAAACTTCAGTAAATCATGGTTTTTAAACAATTGCATTATACTTTTGTTACACATTCTGTATTTTGTGAGCAATAGCTTTGAACTTTGGGGACTCCCCTTACAAATATGTAATACATGCAATACATACCCTTTAACGTTTTTTCTTTTTTTATTTATTAATTACATTTTTGCATTCTTATCTGAGGTGCCAGTGTATTAAGTTAAGTGTTCTGTATCAGGGCCAAGTTTGGGTTCCAGCTAGTGCAGCATGAGCCCTTGCTCACCTGCTTTCACCCTGACCATGAAAGGCCACTTTCTTCTTTGGCTTGATGTGAATGAAAAGTTATGATAACATAGGCTGAAGTACCAGAACAGATGAAACTTTGTATCCCTTTAAGCCTCTTGTCAGCCCCAAACATATGCTTCCATGTATATTATCATAAGTAATATGACTTTCAGAAAATGGACCTCAGATTTCTAGAGAGTATTAACATTTTTAGTGTAATTGATGTTTTTAACCTATGTATTACTAATAGAATTTGTTGTAACATTTTTGTCTAAATACTGTAGGTCTGGGATCTCAGTGATATTGACAAAGATGGACACCTGGACAAGGATGAATTTGCTGTGGTAGGTTTTTTTAATTGAAAGTTTAAGAAAGCAGTGTGTAGGTATTATTGTTTCCTTGAACTTAATTATGAGAATTGCAGCGTCTTCTCTGGCTGCTCTTTATCCACACTGCACCCTACTCCAGATCATTCAAATTACAGCCACTAAAATGGTCTTCTTCATTGAACCCCTCATCTGGCTCCCCCTTGTCCAGGGTATCGGGTTTAATCATCTTGTGCAGCATTCAGAGTCCTGTACAGCTCTACTGTGACCTGTATCTCTGGTTTCATGTCTTACCATGTGAAATACAGGAGGTTTCTGGGGCGCTGCTGAGAGGGTCAAATCTGAGCAAATAGCTTCGAGACAGAGCTATTTACAGCCCAAGAATGGGGGTCCTCTACTATAAGGTGCACAAAACCAGTCACAGAGAGCACTTGTGTTTGCCACAATGGCTAGCAAGAAGTCACACAAGCAATCCCCTTAAACACTCCATTTCTCCTGTTGCAACTGCCAATAACCTCCTTATACAGAGGCAAGGTTATGAA